GCAAAAAAGCTTCCATTCGTAGCCTCTAACACAAACAAAAAAATGTTCAACGTAAAACAACTTTATTGTCACTTTTTTAAGGTTAAGCAGGATGCATCGGATTGAAAACTCAACCCTTAAACTTCATTTAAGGGAGCACAGAAAAGCTCTTCATTTATTCTCTTGAACATGCTCAAAGATTTATTACTATGTAAAAAAAAAAATGTGTCACTTTTTTAGAGTTTGGAATGATGTATCGGGTTTTAGCCCAAATTTAGGTCTCTATGATATTAAGAGATAAAAAAAGTGCTGGAAAAACTATTTTTCGTTCTGCACAACATGTTACTTGTCACTGTCACAACAAAAATGTCACTTATTTGAGGTCAGGGACGATGCATTGGGTTCTTAGCTTAAGCCTTGGTCTCCAAATCACTTAGTAATAAAAATAGCGGCAAAAAAACCATTTTTCTGTTTTTTGAACTGTGCTAGAAGCGTTACTTCTTTATTACAACATATAACAGTTTTTTTTGTCAATTATTTGTATAAGGGTTGTTAAAATGCATTCGTTGTTGTAGAGGAAGGGGTGAGAAAGTTAATTTGTCTTAATTTGATTAAAACAATTAGTCAGTATACCTCTAAGGTAACTTTCGTAGCTGATATCACGTTTTATTAATTATTAATCAGTTTTTGTGAATAGATGTGGTTAAGCATCTTAGTAACTAAGTTCAGACCAGAGTTGTGTCTAGTTATGATGTCGGATCATATCTTATATTCATACCATTTTTTTAAACGCTTTCTAGAGCTAAATACTAAAGAAAATCTGATCCTTAGGATACTTCTACTTGCTTTTGGTCATTTAATTGGTCTACCATTTTAGATTATTTATAAGCACCAGACAGCATTTAGACAGAGAGGTCTTAAGTTTAATTGGAAAATACAATACGCTTGAAAATATCTTACTAATTTTCGCCTAAGAGGGGTCTCACGTCTGTATTTGATGCCCAACATTAACACATGCTTAAAATAATTTGTACTGTAAACTTTGCGTTCTGGACACATTTGAAACTTCAGGGTACAAAGCCCTAAACATACACTCAATTTGCAGTATTATAATCATAACTCGTACTTGTAGATGCCTATTTGAAAAAATAACTGACGTTTCATAAAAGTTTCTCATCCCTGCACCTCTTATCCGTGTTAAAAGTAACGATAACTTTTTTTTAACAGAAAAATTGAAGGATTTTTGCCACTTGTCTGGTCATTTTTGGTGATGTTTATCTTGCAGCAACTTAAAAATACATCTCGTCTTTCTTGATTTTGTGAATACTTTTAACGTTAGTGAGTGTTTTCTCAAAACTGTAACAATATGTAACAATAGAAAAAAAAAATTGTCAACAGGACATCCTCCTTTTAGGTTGGTGTGGGAAAATTTTGAAGCTAGGAAAAAAAAACCAGATATTAGAGTGATCTTCGATGTTACAATAACATACACAATATATGTATATAAGCAGCGCAGAAAAGACATGCTGACATACTGCTTTATTTAGAATATAGTAGTAATACGTACCAATAAATGTAGTTTAAATTAAATAATTACTCTCTTCACACAAGAAAAAAAAATTTCGATAGAATAAGACGCAATTGAAGTGTAATGATTCAGTTACAGAATGAATTTATAGAATTTACTTATAGAATAGTAAAAATAGGTATAAACTGACAAAATCTTAAAACTATTGTTATAAAAAATAATTTATAAAAACAATAAATTCATAAATAGTTACTTCATATTCATTGAGTAATATCTAGAACTAGTGGCTCCCCGTCTCGGCTTCACCCAAGACTCACTAAATGAAACACCATTGTGTGTTGATATGTAATGTGAAACGTTTTTAGTTAAAATTTTTACATATATTTCTGACACATGTCAAAACAAATACCTTCTTAGTTAAAATATATCTGTTTGAAATCCATACAGTTAATTTGGTCAAGTAAGCATCTATAAAAAGTAATAAAAATATAATGGTGCTGTAAAATACCGTGCATTCCCTGTACTATAATATAATTAGTGTCCCTAAAAGGCCAGTGATTTGCAGTTTCTTCTATATAATCTATAAAAATGGCTTTTTTTTAAGCTGTACAGATTTAAAAATTACAAAAANTTTTAAATTCCGTTCTTTAATAGAGATGAATATGTCATGTATGCATTTTTTTTTGTTTGAAATTCTATCAAGTTATGACTTAGTACGATATGGGCGTTTTACATAAAAAATTAGAAAAATAGCAGTTTTCTATTATTTTAATTTAAAAGTTATAGTTAAGTCTGTAAACGTACAAATTTAATAACATTTGTATAGTGATTTATTGACAATAATATAATTAGTGTCCCTAAAAGGCCAGTGATTTGCAGTTTCTTCTATATAATCTATAAAAATGGCTTTTTTTTAAGCTGTACAGATTTAAAAATTACAAAAAATCTATACAGTTAAAAAAAAATTTTTTCTCTTATCTAACAATTTTATAACCACATCAACAAAGTTCTGGAGCCTAATCTCTTTATTTTTTATCGCCACAAAAATACAAGTACGTATTCTACATTTTAAAAAATGTGCAAGATGCAAAAGATTCCTATGAGTATTGTAGTGAAAACCTCAACTCTTCCTTGATAAATTCTTTATTTATAAATTTTGATATTACTTTGATCTCGATAAATGTTCAGCGTAATTTTCTTGACGCCCAAAATTGTATTTGTTAGATGAATTTGAAGATTTCTTACGAATTTGTCCTCTTACGACTTTTGGCATGGTTAAGACTTTTGTGAGCACTAAAGACTGTTTTTTGTCAACTTGAACTCGATGGAGCATCTTATAACCACTCTTCATTATTTTTGATAGTGGGTGGCTTTAATTGTACTTTGACACCACCTAGCGGATCCTACTGAACTAAAGCGCAAAGCTATCTTATTTTAGCAAATTTTTTAGCTTATTTATCGCTACTGTAATTATTTTTTTTGAGAAAACAACTATGCGAAAACCATCTTGAAATTATCAAAAATCAGTGTGCAAAATTTCAGCAAAATTGGTTCAGTAGCTTTCGCGGTTAGTGATTACGACGGTTTTAGCAACTTTGCTTTATATGTAAGTAAAATAGCTGCTTCTATGAAAAAAGTTTGTTAAGTTAAAAAGAAGTTTATAAATGATATTGCAAGTCACATCCTAAATATTTATCACATTAGAGCACTGAAATTTATTTTATATTTATAAAAAGCAAGTATTCAGCAATTTTCAAACGTCAAGCTATATAAGTGCTTTTGCAATCACGTGAAGTATAACTTACTTTTTTAAAGAATATGCTACCGTCCTAAAACTTAAACTACACGTGCAACCTTGAAACAATGTTATAGAGCGCTTATATAATGATATTCGTTTACACTACTGCATCCTAGAACGTGAATAAACAACAATCTTAACACTTTTTACTGCGTATATCCACAAGAAATATCATACACGATTTTCAGAGAAATTGGTACTCAATGTAAGATCTCAAAGATAAGCAGTTTTAGTCATTAACTAACTATTGCACTACGACTGTGCTTGTGTCACACTATTACGTGTATTGCAATGTACAAGCGAATCTGAAACTTTATAAATTATATTATTTGTAAATATCAATTATTACTGGCCTCACTCAATAACGACAATCATCAGATATGACATAACTTGTTTAATGATTAAATTGATTTTCTGAATTCAAACATTTTAAAACTAAAAAAATTCAATTAGTGAAAATATAAGTTTAGTTTCGATAAATGAATTGAACACTACAAAAAATAGGCAGATAACGCATAATAAAGACCTTCACAAGGATGTGGCATGAATAGACGAATAAAATATGCTTCTACTGCATTACATAAGATAAAAATTCAAGCAATAGGTCAACGTCATATTGACATACGACACATTAACACCACTCCTTACATACCATTAGGTAAAACCTAGCACCACAACGCTGAGTCAATATTTGAGAAGGAAAGTATACTGTGAGTAAGAACAAATAAGGCCTTTGGCCAGACAGCTGGTTCCTGACGAACAAAAGTTTAATTTCTTTGTTAGTAGAACGAATCTATGAGCTCGACGCTTTATTTTGAGTTCTAACGTAACTTATTTAATTAAATAAAAAATGTCTGTGTAGATGCAATTGATAGTAACGAAACAAAATTAAGTAACAAAAATACAATAAATTTTTGAATTCAAAATAAGTAATAAAACACATTACATTACAAATTGAAAGTCTTATATATTTCGGTATACCGTGTGCCGATAAACGTATAAAATTCTTTTTCACTGCATACTTTCTCAAGGTTCTAATTCAGAAATTGTTGGCTTACGTTAGAGAAAAATTAGCCTACAGAAATAAAAATCCAAAAATTACTATGGCAACCTGATTTCGATAAGTTTTTCAGCTATACATTTTAGCTAAGTTTTTTCAACATAATTACTTGACTCCTTGTTTACATCATTTGTTTAAGTTACAGAAAAATTGTTTGTATGTATTTTTGTAGGAGTTAAGTTCCTAGTAATCTGTTAAAAAATATTCTTTTTGAATATTTAAATTTTTTTACCGCACTCTTTGGTATTTCTGTTACTAAAGCAACAATTAAATTTTACATTTGTAAGTCACGAGATTACTATAATTTGAAAGAGTGGCCGTAATTTTTTTTTATCGTCTTGATTATGCTTAATACTAGAATAATTTTGAAGGAGTTTTTATGGGGAATATGGAAGATTTAACAAATTCAGAAATAATGAAGCGTTTATTCCACATAAGTAATGTACATGCTCTAAATTCTAAATTGTAATTAGAATTTTAAGTTTCGGTAAGAGAAAGTCCTTTAATTCAAATCTTTATTTTCAGTCTTTTTTGAAGCTTCTAAGTAGATAATTGGAGAGCTCTTCATCTGCAAGTTACAGACAGTTACTACACTTCCTTAACTAAAATGGTATGGTACATAAAGAGCACAATTTTTGACTTATTTTTTAACGTCACCGTGAAACAACAAGTAGTAAAGAACTTTTTTCGAGAATAGTGGGAGTGGCTTATTTAAAAGTGGAGCTGAAACTTCTACCATCAAATGACTCAAATGTAATATGTACTTGGTAATCGTTTTATTGTGAAAAACTTTCTCGTTAAAGTAATAATGCAACAAAGTAAGCCGCCTATTATTGGATCAAGTATACATGAAAATTGCCAGTATGTAGGTCCCTATAGATTAGAAAAAACTTTGGGCAAGGGTCAAACAGGTACGTTTAAAAATAAGATTTTCACAATTAATCGATATGATTTAATAAAATGTTTTTATATGTATTTGTACTTTATCTATTAACGTAAAAAACAAAAGCTCTATGTAAAACCGTATGATAATAAGGTATTATTTATTATTTCCTACTTCATATGCAAAACAGAATCTTGATACTTTTAAATACAACTATCTTCATATTTAATTGTGTACGTAGTAACTTTTAGGTTATTATAGTGTTCTAATACTACTTTTACAAGAATATGAAATATATCTCCAACTTTTCGAATCTTCTTGCTATCCTATTAAATAGTTGACTTCAAATTAGACCATTGATAAAACTCAAAACTCATTGTACACAACAATTTAACTACGGGTGCCGTTATCTATAAATGAGATCCTAAAGTTAAGTTATTCTAAGTGAGTAAATGATTAGGTTATAAATGGAGATGTAACGTAACAGTTTATTAAAAAACTAATTTAAAAAAAAATTAAGGTCCCTTACTAGTTACTACACGTATTTCAATGTGTCTGTTTGTACGAAAAAATATTTCAGGTTATTTACTCACTATCAAACGTACTTAAATAAAAATTTACTTGTGGCTTTTCTCTGACGAAGATTTACTGACTTTAGTAGCATAGTAGGCTAACTCATAATGTATAGACATTCAATTACTATGACCTTTTCTCGTGTCCAGATAAAGTGATAAAGTATATGCTAATTTTTTAAATTCCGTTCTTTAATAGAGATGAATATGTCATGTATGCATTTTTTTTTGTTTGAAATTCTATCAAGTTATGACTTAGTACGATATGGGCGTTTTACATAAAAAATTAGAAAAATAGCAGTTTTCTATTATTTTAATTTAAAAGTTATAGTTAAGTCTGTAAACGTACAAATTTAATAACATTTGTATAGTGATTTATTGATACGTTCGAAAAAAGCTATTAGTGTTACATATCGTAACAGACGCAGTTATCGTCTGGGCTCAGAAAAAGGGCAGAGCCTTTATCTGAACCATAAAAAAGATCACAGTCTTTCTCCGGGATTAAAAAAAGGCATAAACTATGCTCTAGCTAGAGTAGACGGTATAGTTCGTACCTGAACTCAAGAAAAAAGTGTAATCTTCGTCCAGGATCCCAGACGGGGATATTCTTCGACCAGACAAAGCTGAAAGTTGCTTTTATCTGAATTTAGAAAAAAAACATAGTCCTAATCCAAACTTCAAAGTAGGGTAAATAGTGTTTGTCCAGAGCGTTAACATAATTCTACTTATTTAAGTAGCTAAAAGGTTTAAGTCATCAATGGCAGGGCTTTAAAAAAAGGGGATCGTTTACTTGACACATTGTTATTTTTTGATAATTTTTACACTAGTGTTCTAATCTCAACAAATGCTCTGCGTCACGTTCGCAATTCCTAATAAATATTACAAGCATTCAAAATTTTTTTTCTATTTTACCCTCTTGCAAATCCGGAAATTGTTGAAAACTTTTACGAGCTCTAAAATAGGTGTTTTTTGCCAACTTTGTTTAGTTTATATACATAAGTATTCTGACTTATGCTGAAACTCTACAAACAAAAATATTACTTACATTTATTTACATACGTAAAGCTGACTTACACAGACTTTACGTGCTTTTGAGATGTATACATGTAACATTGAAAACTCATGCCGACAGTCAGAATAAGTCAGTCAAAATCTTCACGAAGAATCTGTTTATTTTTAGAGTGTCAGCATAATTCAGAACAATCATAAATATATATACATGTACATGTAAATCTAGTTATTGGTGAGATAATTCAACGTAAGATGGGCCTACACAGGACTGGTATGCTAAACTCTCTATTGATTGAAGTTTCCAGACAATGTGACAACCTGGACACCTCAAGATGTTCTTCTCTGGTCTGCTGTTATAGCACTAGACTTGTTGGAAAAAACTTATAATACTCTATGGAATTGGAACAGGTTGTAGTGCTTTTCTGAACATTTTTTGGTGTAATGCTAGAGACGGTAGCGTCCAATGCACCTTTTTTCCTTGAAACTTAGTCTTTTAAGCAGCACTAGAAGTTAATTGGTTTACGTTATTGCCAAGTCAAGACCATCCAATTAGCTAAAGACTATTTAACTATTAAAGCTTTGCTATAAAGTTTGCTGACCACAGATGTCAAAGACGCTTGGTTATTCGTGGTTAAATAAAAAGTCTTCAGTGGGGGAGATTTTCAGCCTCATGACGAAGAGCTCCACTCATGATGTCTGCCAGTGAATTACGGACTCCTTTTAAAAAGGCCCGGCTCTTTATGCAGTCTGTTAGTAGATAAATCTTTATTGGAATTTGCTTTAAAATATACAGAATAATATTCTATGCCACAAGTTACGACAAATTTATTTTTTAGCGAGGTGGTTCTAATTTAGATGACCCCGAACAGGACTGATAGGCTCCTTGGTAGTTAGGTGAGCGTAAAGATTAAAGATAGCTCTCAAAAAAGCCAATAACAATACTTCCTGTTGGTGTTAATGATGTTTAACACTGGAAAGCTGGTCAAAGTAGTGAAAAATCACACCATTTTTAACTTTAATACAAAAACAGTTTTATTTCTTTGGTGTAGTCCAACTTTGATGATAGTCATCAACGTATGAGTTAGTATGTAACGAAAAGCTCTACTCTGTAACTATATTTTAGTAAGTTTAAAAATCTTGCCATAAATTAACTCACAATTCTTTGTTAAATTTTACTGTTTGACTGTCTATAGATTGTGAAGTAAGCATAGCATAGGTTCTGTTTGAGATATAGTCTCATTTATTCTCTCTAAATGTTATACAAAATAAGAATCTTCTAAGTGATGGATAAACACTAAAAATAAACACAGAGATTGTGAAACCTCTCTAACACACTGTTTTTTCATCTGTTTTTTAACAATTGTGGACTAACAAGTTGGTAACGTAACTGAATAAAAAAAGAGTTTTCTATCAAGTTAGAAAGAAAAATTAAAACTTGTTACACTGTGTCATACTCAAAGCAACTTTTGTATGTAGACTCCTAGCTCTTAAAATATGAAATAAAAGACATTAGCATACTAAGACCGCTACATGGTACTGATTCATAAAGTAAGTATACATAGAGAATTGAATTTAAAAATGTAAACAAAACTTCTTATTTCAGTGATAATCATTTTGTTTTAGTTACAACAGTTTTTTTAATATCCTACAACTAACTAAACAGTGTTTAATCATTTTCTAAAAATTGTTAGCATTTAACCATAGTAAGTAATTACTTATTAACAGTGGTTTTGCGCAAAGAATAAAAGAGTATAATTGTACTATTTTTACTTATTTTTTACCTAATATTCTATCTGTTTTTTAAAACTTGTCTATGGATTTTAGCTGTCATGACTAGCTAAGATTCTGGTTATGAGAGCTTTTCTCTGTCGGCTATGTGTAACCACCTGTGCTGCCACCCTAATTACCACCTACAGAAATGAGCTTATGTACGTCAACAAACCCAAATCGTATTGCAGAGATAGGAGCAAAGTCTTTTAAATCAAATGAACTGTTATTTATTAACATTAGAAAGATGGAACTAAAATTTTTGTAAAGGGAAACATATGTTTGATAAAAAAGAAGTATAATTTTTCTCTCCGTATCTTACAATTAGGACAAAAATAGAACTTTCTGTCTTCTTTTGAGATTGTATGCTTTCCAACCAAATCAAATGTATATCACCTTAATGATGTTAGAAATATCAAGAGATAACTACCTGCATGTGCATGTATACCTTTCTTACATCATTGAGGCTAACAACATATCATGCAGTTCAGCTCTGAAAGTATGCAACCTCAAAAAATGAGAGAAAATTCTGTTTTGTTGTTACTATCAGATACGATTGAGCAAAATTATACTTTCTTTCTACACAACATTTGTTTTCCTTTATAGAAATATCAATTACATGGTTCTGACAATAATAAATAAAAATTTATTTGACTTAAGTGACTTTGATAATATCTTTGCAATACAATTTGGCTTTGTTTACATGCATCAAGTCATTTCTGCAGGTAGCCACGGGGTTGGTTGCACAGGCGGTTACCATAGGGGATAGCTCAGTCAATGAGGTTGAGGCTCTTCTCCCCTCGATAAAGAATTTATCCGTCACGAAGCATTTATATTTTTGAATAAATAGTAAGAAAAATCACTGATCAAAAATTTCGTTGTACACAGTTTGCGCTGGTGAGGCAACGTTATTAAATTGATAAATTTCTGGAAAAAATGACTTTTTTTGCGTCTTGCAAAATATCTCTACAGTGCGTTTTTTGCCACTATGCCTTCAAAGTTTTTTGTTTCCTATATAACGACTTACAAAATGTCGGTTATTAAAAGTCACTACGTTTGTTTAATCATTGATCAAAGTTTAAAACTCAAAAGCAATCAGTTCTTTGTTTTCTTATCTTAGAAAAATGATGGGTTACTTGATAAAGCCTGTTTATTCGTTGTGTGATTGGCTGAGACTTATCAAGTTCGGGTAGATTTGAAACTTAGATTTTGAAAAATCAGTGAAAAGTCATTTGTATGTGGAAAATAGATGTGAGTAAATTTCAGGGGTTGGTGCGCGGAGCACACAAGTGGCGCAGCCCCCTAGTTTGATAAATTAACGGTTGAAATTTTTGGAAACTCTTAGTTGCATAATGTACCAAAGTTTTTGGTACGGTCCAATTTCAATCGAACCTGGCTTAAAAATTTGAAAACAATTTAAGTTCAATATTCTGTGAAAATAGAAAAAAAAAACAAAAAAATCAGATTTGACCTATTTTATAATGACTTCGTTGACCATATTGGCTTATGACAGACGTAAGAAACTATATAACTTTTTTAACTGTCAATATTAAGTATTTGCTTTTGCACAGTTCAAAACCTAATATTTTTTTACGAATTGAAAAATAAAAAACTCGACTCTAGGACTAGACCTTCTGGAGCCGAGAAAAAATTTTTTTTTCAAAAAATTCGTGACAGC